CATAGATCTGTTTTTCACTGAATCTTTTACTGGAGAATTATTGTGCTCCTTTAGAGGTGTTGTACTTTCTTGATTGTTTATTTCTTGTGTCCTTTTTTGTCCTTATGGTGATATCTACACATCTTGTCATCTTGTATAATAGTTGCTTGTTTCAATTTTTTTTTTTTTTTTTTTTTTGATCGAGTCTCACTTTGTCAACCAGTCTGGATTGCAGTGGGGCTATCTTGGCTGATTGCAATTTCCGCCTCCCGGGTTCAAGCCATTCTCTTGCCTTAGCCTCACAAGTAGCTGGAATTACAGGCCCACAGCTACTATGTCCTGCTAACTTTTGTATTTTTAGTAGAGACCAGGTTTCGTCATGTTGGTTAGGCTGGCCTCAAACACCTGACTTCAGGTGATCCACCCACCTTGGCCTCCCAAAGTGTTGGAATTACAGGTGTAAGCCACTTGGCCAGCTTTTTTCAATTATTTTGGATGGGTTTTCATAAGGGAAAATTTTTCCTATGGATTTATCTGTGGTATTGGTTGAGGGGGCACTTTAGCTTTGATTCTAGGGTTAGCAGTAGCGTAGTTTTCATATGATTTTTATAGCATCAGTGGTGTCTATGATTTCCTCAGTTTCTTAGACGGTGATTGTTAGTGGAGACTGGGTTGAGATTTTACTGGGTATAGGCGTGCCAGGTAGTTCAGTCTTCAGGCTCAGTGGTATTATGGGTGGGCTAAATGTGCCTGTCTTTAGGCTCCTGTGTGGCATACAAGGGCACTGGTGTTACTGGGTCCAGGAGGGCCAATTGTTGGGCCTCCAGGAAGCTTGCTTGGGTTCAGTAGTGGCATCAGTGGGCATGTGTGTGGTGAATTCCTGGGCCCCTAAGCAGTGTGCATGGCATGAGAAATAACAGTAGTGATGGTGGGACACCCGTGGGCTCCCAGGCATCAAATACTGGTGTTAGCAGTGCCTGCAACAGACTGGATGGTCCAGTCCCCAGGAGGAGTGCACAGACACCAACACTGGTGAACGAGGCAGGGCTGTTCTCAGGTCTCTGGATGGCATGCTTGGGTACTTTGTGGATAGTGCCAGGGGTATGGGCCTGCCCTTAGCGTCCCCTGATGGTTGTATGCGAATAGGCTGTGGTGAGTCGGACAGGGCGATCTCCATGCCCCAGGTATAATAACATATTTCTTTTTTACAAATATATATTTACCAATTTTCTATAATCTCTACCTTTTCTTATTTTGCAGTGCCTTTTCATTATGTAAATACTTATGAACAAATTATATAGAGATCTGTGCATTCAAGTGCTAGTTGACTTTTGTTATATTGTGTAACTACAAAACCACCTTCACTACTTTGCTTATTAACTATAGAGTGCTGAGTGAGAAACCCAGAGAAAAGGATATAAACTTTGGACAGACTATCTGGATTAAATCCAGCCCTACCTGTATATACTATGGTTTGTTTTTTGAGTTACTTAACTGGTGACTGCCTTGCTTTCCTATTTGACACAAACTTGATGGGATTGCACCTGAATAATGGTTATAGAAATTAAAGGAATTAATTTAAGGAGAGTGCCTCACACACAGATATTGAATGAATATTGGCTATTAATATTATTAATAGAAGACAAATTTTCACATATTCGTGAGAATAAGAGAAGCCACATTTTTGTGAGCATTCTTGTGAGAATAAGATAAATCATATTTTTGAAGCACTAGAATTTGCTCACAATTTTTCAAAGAAGGAAGAATTTATAGATACACAATTTTATAAAGAAGACAATAGTTTAATCTGACAAGATATTAAATGTAAACAGAAAAAAAACTACATACTATCACAAAAACAGTCTAAAATTAAAACAAAAAAGTACTCCAAAGTGAAGAACATATAATAGAAAGTATTTCAGAAGTTCTGTTTATTGATTTATAAGTGTAGATATTTTAAACTGGGAAATCCAGAAGTAGTTTGATCAGCAACTTTTAAAGTACTTGTACCTTTTTCTCAAGGATTTATATTTTATTGTTACAGACAGTCATCTTACCATTTTGCCCAGACTGGGCTCAAACTTCAGGGCTCAAGTGATCCTCCTACCTTACCCTTCCAAGTAGCTGGGCTACAGGTGTGTGCCACTGTACCCAGCTATATTTATCTTGTAGTTTAATAATATTGTCTAATTTTTATAATTGCATTTAAAATAACAGATTTCAAAGAGTTTTATTATCAACTACTGTGTCCCTGATCATGAAATTGAAACTCTATACCAGAAAAGATTTTTCAATTTTTAATTAGGCAGAATTATTTTCTAGCACTGTCATATTAAATAAGGTTACTACTCTAGGATTTTTATGTATGTCCTGTAAGATTATCTATATGTCAATAAGTCATGAAAAGCTATCTTCATGAAAACTTGGAATTAGAAATATTATATATTTTATTCTTTTAGTTATTTTTGCATAAATAGATTAAAATTTTTATCTTGGCAATAACTGCTATGGTATTTGTAATCTTCCTCATACATTACACATTAATGTTAAAAACTGTGGAAAATAAATACGAAATAAAAATTTTACTCATGATTATTTCACAAGAGTTAAATATTATTAATTTATTGTGTTTTCCTGTTGTTTATATAGCGTGTAGTGGTGGCTCAAAAGCATTCCTGAACAGAGAGGGTCGGCTTCTCCACTTGTTAGCTGTGATTTTAATTAGTTCTTCA